GAGCTCTCCTCTACAATTTTTCTGCAGAAGAGACACCTGCCGATATATCCCCAGTTGTGTCACTCCCGCAATTCCAGGCACCCGACACCCCATTACTGATTCCTGAACTAGCACCAGTCGGACATCCACTACACATTCTCGATACGGGAGCCCTGAGGCCCAATTCTGAACTGATAGCAATTTTGTCCACAAGGATAGAAGTTTCGGAAAGCAAGGGCATTAATTAGCCCATCCAGCCGTAAGCTGGCTTTTGCACTTCGTTGTAAGAATTACATAAGCATACAAAAACTACTAAGATTCCGGACTGGAGTTGAATGAGTGGACACACCCGAAAAACTGAAATGATGGATGGTTCTGCCGCTGCTGACATCATACCCAAGCCAGCTTAGGTAGTCTTTAGGGTACCTAATGACTCATCCCGGTGCAGAAGAAACCGGCCACCGTATCCATCTTCGTCTTTGTAGTGAAGCGTCAATGTGAGACCAGCCTATACACTGGTACAAAAACGAAAACGTTGCGAAAATCTCTATCCGCTGAACACATTTTCCGGTCTTAGCAACCAAGGAATTAGCGAGAGACCAATCATGATCTTCCAAAGAAAGCAGAAAAAGGCTAAGGATACAGTCCCCAATTTTCGGCACCTGAAGATGAAATCGATATCTTCGATCGATACTGTATGAACTTTTGAGCTCTTCAAGTGTACCAAGTGTGTAAGTTACTGTACAATTGCTTTTTGCAGTTGATCCGTGGCTTTGGATTGATATCCATCCCAATTCTGGCTGCAATTTTCATGAAGTAGCAGCTCACCTAGGACGGTTGGTATGGGTAAGAAACCAAGACTTCAGTACAGTCACGTGAAGACAGCTCCCATCCATCTGAAGATGATGGAGCAGCGTCGACATTGGTATGAGAACGTGTTGCAAAAAACATAAGATCATCCGATAGGAGATATCATGCAAGCCAAAGCCTTCAAGTTTCAAAGCGACCACGAGGAGTTCTAAAGATTAGATGAAGGGTCGTCATCAGGAAGGACCGTTCCAAGGCTGAGGTAAGGGAAGAACATGCCGCAGAGGGATGAAAGTGGCGAGACCTATCAAATGCAGCGGACTGTGGGACTGCGAAGGATTCGAGCTAAAGGGAAGAGGAAGAAGAACAAGGACGGTGCTAAGGTAGTTCCTATTTACGTGTCCGGTCCGAGTAACTAACCCCAAAAAATTACCTCCTAAGCACTCCTGAGCTATGAAATCCGCTCTACTCCGGGGTGGATTCACTGACCACTGCAGGCCATTGCATAGGCTACATAGCCTTCAAATCGGTAACTGCGCCTTTCTTCTTTCATCAACATATCCGAATAGCAAAACTTTTTCAGGCCCAAAATATGGATTTGGCTCGAGCGGTAGGAAACTTCTATGTCTTCGTGCTCTCAGAAAAAAAAATTATGGCAGTATTCACAGTCTGCGGCATTGGAAAATTGAGGACCCGATCGATCCGGATGTGATCCTTTCCCACGGATTTCGTGATTCCACTAAAACATGGGCCTGTGAACACTGCCGGGTTCCATGTCAATCAAAAGTTTTTGCTCACCTGCCATTACATTCACCTCCTAATCCAATGTTCCGTAATTCTGAAGCCTTCCTGCATGTGAATAACTCGATGTCGAATTTGTTGTCCTTCTTGAAACTCTAGTTTTGACTCTCTGAAGCAAGACGGAAAAGTTCAAAAAACCAGCGCTTTCCATCGCAAATATCGGCGGATTGAGGTAGCCGGAAAGAAAACAAGGAGAGATATTCTAGAATCCTCCGAGGGATCCTTACAGAAGCACTGAATTCTTAATTTGAGACAATTGAGAGCAAAAAAATGTTTGAAATCACAGACAACTTGATGTACCCGTGCTCATTCGTCTAGGGATTATCGGTCAAAAAATGGGAACGTATCTTGAGCCCGTATCCTTCTCACCAACCAACGATCCCCAGACGACTTAGGCCAAGATTCAGTAAATGTTGTGGCTCAAGGGGACAGAATAACAAGAGTTACAGTATGTTCTAAGCAGTTAAGTTGCAAAAAAAGTTGCAATAATAGTTATTTCAAAAAATCAATAAGACGGATAGACGAACGCCGGGCGGCAGAGGCATCACGAAATGAACGAAGGTGGAGATTGGTAGATCAAATTGACAGGTGAAGATCAAACTGGAACAGTAACTTCAGTGAAGCAGTTGAAACTAATAAACACATTGTTGGGTAACGAACCTGGGGATCAGAGTTACTGTAGGATTGCCTTCCGGCAATGCCAAAGCCTTCCGGCAATGCCAAAGCTACTGCCAACTTGAAGGCACAGTTCACGATAAAAATGGTTTTTGATATTTCCCCACAGGATGAATTCGAGCCCCCCACGTATACCGTAACTGGCAATATTAGGTCGGACGGCCTAGTTAGGGTGTTAGAAAGGCTCAAAAATTGGCCCGTGTGCACCCTAGGACGAGTTTCACCGGAGGATGCATCGATCACAACGGAATCCATGTAGGGAGTTTAAACAACTTGTCATGACCCATAGCGATAGTGAAAGACAGTTCTGTACAGTACTGGCTTGATGTAGTCAGTTCTTTGCGCAATTGCATTATTTGAAATCTCGTCCAAATTCCCCTTCCATGTTATTTTCGTCATGGCAATTTCGTCCAACCTCTATTTTCCCCACTTTCGAGGAGCCATATTTCTCTCGAAATTCTCTTGCTCTCTTCACTACCGATGAACTATTCCCAATCTATACTTCCGTTTTTTGAATAAAAACGGGTACCTCAAAATTATCGTGAACTGTGCCTTTAATGTTGGCACTTATAACATTACTACTACTCATAAGTAATATATCATGAGTAGGATTATTCAGAGGCACGGTTTGCGATAATTTTGAGGCGTCCCGTTTCAGACGTGTAAGGGAAGTAATAGTCCAGAATAATTCAAAAGTGAAAAAAGTGGTAATCGGCATATTTTAGGAATATAAGGCTTCATCAAAGTAGTAAATTAGTGGTTGGACGAGAGTATGTCGGCAAAAGTTGCGCCACATTCTCGTCCAACCCCTACATTACTTCTAAAAGGGGTATCTGGACGAGTTGTCCAATGTGTGTGTGCCATTGTGCTACAGTATGCTGCCTGCGTGCAACGGATGCGTACCGGTGCAAATGGTGCAACCTCTATAGTCCCTACAACGCCGTGAAAACTCGTCCATCTCTGGGTGTGTGCATCAGCTTAGCCAGATTTTTGGCTTTTATTAATTGGATCAGACAACGTCCCTCATGCTATCCCTAGCGGTCACAGGTTCATCCTAGGTAGAGACGTCGGAAATCACGTTATCGTGAACCGTGCATTCAAGTTGAAAATTCATTTTGAAAAAAAAAATCAACGAAGAGATTCGACGGATTGCAGAAGGATTACAAGTGAACCGCTGCCAATAACTGCAAATCAGATTGAATGATTCCGTGTAATTGAAGAGGCAGTTTGATTGATTCCCAGGTACAGAACGCCAATTGTTAAAAACTTTTATTTTCCATCTATTCTCAGCAATATATGTCAACACTAGAATTAAAACTGGAATTAAAATTTATGACTTAAAACTACAAATACTCAGCCATTTTCCCTAACCGTAAAAGTACTAAAAAAAGGAAACAGTGAACAATGCGTGCCGCGAACTCGGACCTTATGCCACACAGTAGGTGGGGTGGGTAACTACCATCGTTACCGGTTACAGTGACATGTTATACTGCTTGGTGCTGATGTAAGGACAGTGTGCTACAGTACCGCACGTTTCCCTAAGTCACCATGGATAAGGATGCTTTCGAGCGATGCCCCAACCCAGAAAATAAGTCAGGTATTGATTACATAGGCGCAAAAATCAATATTTATCCTTGGCTACAAGGCATTTAGTAACTCTAGGTAGGCTTTTCTGACAGGAAAGTTTCTCTATGGAATTTCATTATATCTCCAGTTTCGGACCAGCCATTCAAGACATCCTCTTCCCAAACAACCACCGCTAATACACAATTCTAAAAAATCACAGTTTAATACTTATTTTTAAAATGATGGTGAAAAATTCATAACATTCAAAACTACATCAATCATATCAGCTAAATTAGAAACATGCGACTATAAAAGAGTACGATCACAGACCAAATGAGGTCCTAAATAAAAATGTGAGGCTGTCAATGGCAACGAGGCGCACGGCCCGAAAACGAATTGGTCCAGCACTGACCAGGAGCTGAAACCAGTTCACCGCGGACGGCAACTTCAATTAGTCCCCGATCGTTTGCCCTGTGAAGCTTGAGCATCTTACTATTCGGTGCGACTCCTCTTTCTAATTGTCCCGTCCCTGCTCTTGTTTTTCGTGCCGTTTCCCATCTTGGTACCAATTCAAAAAGAAAGCTGCGGAGGAAGAGGAAACCCTTGGAAGGTGAGTTATCGTTTCAATTGAAAAAGCATAATGCAAAGGCCTTAGTGAACATTCATTCGCTGATCACTTGAACTCGTCGCTAACCGCCACCGCGATGACACCTCTTGACCTACACCCCGTACCTCTAAGGGTTTTCGTATTCGTCTTTCTGGACTGTGCGAAAAATTGACGTAACTCGAGATTTACATTTCCAACGAGGCTGCCTTTGGCAGCTCCGGGACTGTTCTAGTCATAACTACCCATCGCTTCTTTATTCTTTCACCGTTTATCATAATATGTTCCTTTTCAGTAATTCCCAATCCCAACTTCGTTGCCCGAGCCAACCTGGCCGCTTCGCAGCCGTACGCCGAATCGCCACTGACCTACCCAAATCGGCACGAAATACCGGCTTGGCTCGATAACATTATGACATATAGGATACTAGTAAGTCCGTATTTCATATGAGCGAAAGAAAAATAGAATTATAGTTACGACTCTATGAGTTATACAAGTAAAACCTAATCAGTAATGGTATCTGCATCCACAACCTGTTCCCGAAGAGTAACTGGTCTGCCGTCTTTCTTCACTCCTCATCACTCCACGAGTCCTTACATCCCGCCGATAGCAAATCGTGTTCCTGCTGTTCATCACGACGTTCTGTCTCGCATACTTGAAGAACAATATCCTTCATTAGAGCAATGATTTCCTGATCCGCCCCATCGGACGAGTCGATTTCCTCCTCCTCCTCCTCATCGCTCCACCAGTCCGGATCTTTTTCGAGGATTTTTTCGCTCTTTACATTATCCGCTTTTCTCGATGGAGCTTGCGGCTCTGTATCTTCGTCGTCACTTCTCAAGACAGCGAAATGATTGAACTGCGGGAGAGGCGCTGGACGAGCTAATTCAGGAGCCACACGTTTTTTGAAAAGACGACCACCACGAAGAGCTTTCATGGACGACGTCGTGGACGCTTCTTCCGCCGCTTGCTCACTTTTCCGTTTAGGATCATCGTTGAAACTGCTGGAACAATATAAATGTTTTTAGGGTTCATCATATTGGAGTACGGTAAAGTTGAAAGATCTAACCTTTTCAGTGTGACTGAACCTGCAGTTTTCAGCATATTTGGGTATTTTTGTAACGATGTAAGCAAAACCAACGGTGCACGACTGACTCCTCTGAAGAATCAAAAGTGCAGATTTCAAGAAAAACCTTACAGACAACACCAAAAGTATTCAATTTCAATATTGCAGTATTCAATTTGCGAATGAGACGCGATATTACAACGACGTTGAAGTTGAAAGGTGTTAAAATCTGTTTAACAAAGGCCACTTAAGGAAGCAGTATAAAGAAAAGACTGGTACGTCCTTGGTATGAGTTGCGCTCCTAAAGGACTACCTAACAATACAATGCGCCGATGTCGACAAGATGCGTTCAGACCAAAGCGGGAACCAAATTTGCTCAATGTGATTGATATCAACGGAATATTCCCCTACGAATCACGATTCTGCTTTCGTTTCTCCCTCCCAGATTAATGGTCCCCTTATCTTCAAAGCAACAATGCAACGCTTATGCTGTGCACTATTTAATCCCAGATCTAATTACCTAAAAGAGTACCGATTTCCAACTCAAAACGCATTAAAACATTTACCTCTTCGCAGTTGCTATAACACTTCGCTTCGGTGGATCATCAACTCCAGCGGTCTCAATCGAAAAGAAGACTGCATATTCGTGTATAAAGCGGCGCTTGTCCACAGACATCGGACGGAAGTTATGGTTCAGTGACGAACCAAGGAAAGTTGGCTGAAAACAAGAAAACAATTGAGCAGATGACTCTATGTTGGCTACTTAGGTGTTTGAAAATTGAGAAAAAAAAACTTACGTCGCCCAATTTATCGAGAAGTTCGAGGAAAGTCTTTTCCACCTCGGTGACGAATGCAGCGTTAGTACGCAATTCAACCTGAAAGAAGATTGTGGTCTTGAGGTCGCCTTAAAAGAAAATTCACGAATTTTTCATTTCTTAAACATATAAATCCTAGACGTAAAGGTTAAAGCCCAAATGAGTAACATATCATCCCATGAAGAAAATATGAAACGAGTAGCAGGGATTAAAAAGTGGTAATTAAGTGATCCCTCCAATATTCATGAAATCAAATGTGATCTCAACAATAACATCATTAATTTCAAGCCATGCATAAAATGAATTTGAAGTTTTCCATGAGACTGGCTACCTTCATGTACTCCGTGAAAGTAATAGTGGGTTCCCTTTCCAGCATACCGTTCTCATCAGTTACCAACTTCAAAGCTTCAGCCAGTTTCTTATTGCGAGCTGATTTCTTGCACTCATCATCACAAGGCAAACTAAAAATAAGGGTCTCATAAAAAACCGTGAAGATTACCGACTTCTTACTCGTTTCTTAAATTACGACTGAAA